ATTGAAAATAGGTACTTATACGAGGTAGGATAAGGATATATCAGTTTACTAACACTCTGTATGGAACTAAATACGCGTTTCTATACTGATCTGTACTCCTATAGACGGTATCGTAGTCCACGTTGATTTGACGAGCGCCTGTCACTTAAGAAGTGGGCGATCTACACTTCATTGGTCATTGTCGCTACACTGGCAGAGGGAAATATGCCACCAGACACCACATCCAGTCGACCCAGTTGATTACGTTGGAGGTAAAACACGGGTTATAACCACGCTATCTTTGACCGACTTCATACAAAAAAAAGTTGTATTTGTGAGTGTTTTGATGATTTATATTCTGTGCGCTTACAATAACGGTGAAGTGGGTTTTAAAAGGTTTAAATTATACAAACTTTTGTTTTATTTCCGTCATAATTCAATCATTAAAAAATCGATATTTTTAATCAATACCTCTTGTAATAAACATGGCTTTCTGGAAGCCTTTCCAAACGAATGAAAATAACGTAGCTTCAGATATAACCAGCGAAAATGTCGAAACGGTCGAGTACGATGAATTTAAAAATAAAGACTTATATATACATATATGTATGTATGTAAATAAAAAAAGCCATGATATTAATTTTACGCGACGTTAATTACTTATTATTACCTATCCCTAAAAATTATTATTCGAGCAGGCCCATGGAAGCAGAAAGTTGCACCGCTTTTTTTTGTTCCCCATGCGTATTTATCATTTTCAATTCAGAGTAGAGGGACTATACGTGTGTTTACGATATTAAGAGCGCGTGCGAAGTTTTCTTCCACTGTGTACTCCGATTTTTTTTGGATTTAACTACAGAATAAAGTTTATTTAAAAAAAATATATACCTAAACATGGACAGTGCTTCATATGATAGTGACGTTGACTTAAAAACAATTAAACAAAGGGACGAAGTGGCAATTATATTGCTAGTGCCGTAGTAACAATTTTGAAAAGAGTAATTATAAGTGAGTCAATCCCAAATATAAGTGAGCTAATTTTGTGGAGCGACAGCTGCGTTCCACAGAACAGAAATCTCGTTGATGGCTTTTGCTATAGCATTTTTTTTGAAATCACATCCTCGAATTGGAATACAAAACCTCTCGTATGCAAGAAAATTGGATGACAGTCCTTCTAAGGATCTGCAGAAAAGATTTCAGCTGAAATATTTTCTGCAGAAATGAAATATATGCCAAGGGTTGACTGTCAATATTACAAAACAATTATGAAATTGTAACTTAGGTAGTTTTGTTGTTTCTTTCTCTTATTTCAGTTAGCAGAAAAATGGCGTTATGTTTTATGTGCAGTAAAAAATATTTTTAGTTTGATATGTAGTAAAACATAGTTGTATGTTATTTTTAAGTCAATAAATTTTTGTGAAAAAGTACCCTAAACATGCATTTTTCACCCTTATAATCTGGAAATGACACTATGATGATATACACACGTTAAAAATATTAAGATCATATTTCAGTTTTTACCCAGCCACACCCAAATTTTTAAACCTTTCCCCTGAAAAATTTATCATAGTGCACATACAACTGTATAATTCTAAGCAAACGATTACTGTCATGTATGTGTAAATTATTTTAAACTTTAAATCATTATCTCGAAATTACTTTTTTCGAACTGGGCGGAGACATTGCTCAAAGACCGGTCCATCGATCGATTTGAAATTTTAACAGTAGCTTATCAATTATATTCTCTATAAAAGTGCGTAGCCGTTTTTTGATAGAATGTAATTTTTTTTATAAACAATTTACTATTGAATTTTTAGGGCGAAAATCGATTTTTTTTTTGTTCGTTAGTGGACAGTTTCTATAGAAATCTATTAAAAAAAGAATCCCTACGTACTTATCTAGCCAATAATATGTAAATTAAGAAAATATTTTATTTTTTGTTCCAGGTCTAAAACTTTTTTGAGAAATTTGTCGGCCCGTGGAGGGCTTTTTTGTTAACGGTGTTTTTAAAGACACGCTGTATCGCCGCCATTTTATATGAAAATGGCAATAGAATTGTTTTATATTTCAATACAAAATGAACCCTTCAAAAAAATCCTATTTCCCTTCTCATTCTCCCACAATAAATTATCAAAATTGGGCCTTTTTTCGACCGCTAGATTGGTGTTTCTCAGTGATTGTATTTGTGACAAGTAGAGGAATACATTTTCCCTACAGATAAAAATACCTTGAAAACATGTTCTAAATATAGTACATACCTACGTACAGTGTGTGCATTTTGAAATGGAATCACCCTCTTATTTTGGAGGGGGTTGACCGATTTCCAATATTTTTTCTTTGATAATATTATAATACTCCAAAGGTTCTCTTTCATTACATAATTTTAAAATTTGACCAGTTTAGCGGTTTTTCTGATTGTCACTCTCAAAAACTTCTGTGTATAATTTTATTTCAATACTTTCTTCTGTATGTGCTCGTTCTTATTTTACACTAGCTCTGTTGACACGAATTTGGTATGAGAAAATTACTTCATTATGAAGAGAAACTATGGCCAAAAATACTGTAAAACATTTTAAACTCACTGAGAAAATTGTGTACGAAATTATGTTGTTTGTGAAGGCGGCTGGTGAAATTTGAAATTGTCACATTTTCGTAATTAAGCATAGGACCCACATCATATTTTAGGGATTGACTGGTAGACTCAAATAAAAGGATATAATAGCAAATAAGAATTAAAAGAATTTGCGAAAAGTAAACGTGTCCCACCAAATTTTGGAAACAGCTTGCAAATTGAAATTATTTTTCACAACTACCAAGTGAATATAAATTTTTTTATTCTTGTGCAAAATTTACATTTTGATTAAAGATATCGCTATTGTAACATTTCACAAAAACGAAATGCTATGGTGAAATAATAATTCAAATAACCATAATGTTGCGAGATCTCGAAATTTCGAAATCACTAGAAGTACAAAAAGATGCATATGTATGTACATTATATAAAATCAAATCGGATTTGAAGATGTATCTTAGGATGTTTAAGTTTAATAATGTACAATCAAATTTTATAATGATGTTTTTTGTATTGAATTTAAAGTTGAAGCGTTTTCAAAATCTTTCAGAAATAAGAAAAAAATGTTTTCGAAATATCTTCTTTCAAGTCATTAATTAAATATAGTCTTTTTATTTTTGTCTTTTTAGAAAAAGTTATGGAAATCTGAATTTTTATATCATATCAGCATTTCGTTTCTGGAAAAAAGGACCCCGCACAAAACAAATGGAAAGTGGGTCCCGGTCGAGTTGTCTAAACGGACATGACCTTTGGGTGACATCGAGTAGCCAATTGACTTTATATCTGAAGTTGCTCGAACTCTACATATATCGCCACATTAGAAAACAGTTACATGTAAAAAATTAATTTGCCCTTGAACTGACCTTGTAAGGTTCATAGTCATGGTCAATATAATATCCCTGTAATAACAACTGTCTTTAATTTTTTTATTGAAAGATTTCTTGCAGACTACTAATTCTCCGAGTTTATGATCTGAAAAATACATTGGGCATATTCAGTAATATAGTTAAATAATCAACCTTCATCCCTCTATATCTTGAATCCTAACCATAGGATCTTTTTTGGTACATGGGAACTTTTGTTCAGAAAGTCGAGAACTATCATATAATAAATTTTTAAACAAATCGACCAGGACCCACTTTCAATTTGTTTTGTGCGGGGTCCTTTGTAATATGTAACTTTAAAAATTGCAAAAACGAAAACAATAAACAGTTTTTTTTATTCACATGGTGATTATAAAAATAATCTAAACATTTTGCAGTCTAAAGTGTTTCTGGGCATGCGCCAAAAAATGTTTTTTGAGTTTAAGTCAAAAGAACGATCTGAAATGAGGTGAAAATACATAGTGATATTCTAGTCTGGTCGCCGAACATAGCACTTTTTTTGCGGTGTTGTGTTATTATTTCAATAAACTGAAAAAAGTTACTATAGATTAAGGGTACGTTTCCACTGCACGCTATGCGATGCTATGCTATGCCATGCGAGGCGATGCTAGTAAAACAAACATACGAATATTTATCTAAATGTTCCGACATCGTGCTATACAGAGCGATGCAACGCAATGCTAGTAGCGCCGAGTGCGAGCGTGTGTTTGAAAATCAAATCTGTTTGATTTTATCGCGCTAATTAGCCCAAAGTAGACAGTATCGTGAAGCCGTTTGTACCAATTGCACGCATGGACGCTGAAAAATTAATATTAGCCGTAAGAGCTCGACCTCCATTATGGGATCAGCGATCCAAATGATATAGTAATTTTTTGTAACAATGGAGAGATACCATTCAGTATACAAGTATATTGAAGTGTTTCTGAACACATGCGAAAATACTCATGAAATTTGTTAGGATCCTTTTCAAGTTCTTTAAACAGATGGTGAAACTCTCCAAATCGTCTTCTACCTTTATTAATTGTATGGATCCAGAGGTTTCTTTTCCCGGCTCTTTTTTTATTTTATTTTTTTCTTCATAATCATGTAGTATTTTAATACAGTTTTCGATCAGATAATCACTAGTATTCATGACCGATAGCAACGAAGCACAAAAACTCACTGATAGCCGGATAGCGGTGTATGTGAACACGTCTGATTAAAATAGCAAGAAATGTAGCAACGCATCGCCTCGCATAGCATAGCATAGCATCGCATAGCGTGCAATGGAAACGTACCCTTACATAAGTTTTATCATTGTGTTTTTTTTACTATTGACTGTACCTGAAACATCGGACGTAAAAGAAAAATAAAGATAATAATTTGAAGAGGGTACCCGATTTTGTAACGTAATGTCACATGTCATTGGCTCCGTGTGTCAATCGGCTAATACAGCAGTTCTCAACCGTTTTGCACAGCGGTCCTCAAACGTTTTTCACAGCGGTACTCAAACTTCACGTGATATTTACTTACCTTTTTATTACGCTTTGCGCCCCCCTAAACCGATCTACGCGCCCTCCCTTTTTGAGTACCGCTGCGCTAGCGCGTTCGGCTATTAACCGAAAGGTTGGAGGTTCGAACTTTTCTCTCCCAGCATCTCATAGTGCCCGATCTATTTTTAATGCGGCCGATAGCAGATCAATGCATCCGCGTGGCATTCGGCGCTAGGTGATAATCAAATCAATTACGGCGGCGTCTGGGCAGGTGCCGCCCCACCGGCCGCCGCCGCCGTTTCGCGCGTTCCGACACCGTCACACGCTCACCGTCGCCTCGCGTGTTGCAGAGCCGCCTGGGGCACAGCAGAAGGGAGCGTCGCCGCAAATCGCCGGGACGCCAGGACTCCACCGACTACGCCGCCGACCTGAGCAGCGACCACAGCACGCCCAGCAGCACGCAGAGTCCGCGCCATCGCCTCTACACCGCTCGCACCGGTGAGTGTTTTATTATTGTTATCGCTATTATTAACCCCGCTCCTTTTTCACATGTTTATAAGGGTACGTTTCCATTGCACGCTATGCGATGCTATGCTATGCCATGCGAGGCGATGCTAGTAAAACAAACATATGAATATTTATCTAAATTTTCTGACAGCGTGCTATACAGAGCGATGCGACGCAATGCTAGTAGCGCCGAGTGCGAGCGTGTGTTTGAAAATCAAATCTGTTTGATTTTATCGCGCTAATTAGCCCAAAGTAGAGAGTATCGTGAAGCCGTTTTTGTAACTATTGCACGCATGGACGCTGAAAAATTAATATTAGCCATTAAAATTCGTAGTATTTTTTTTTAAATGGAGAGATGCCATTCAGTAATTGAAATGTTTCTGAAGACATGCGAAAATACTTTGGAAGGGAAAACCCTTTGGACGCCCGAAAATGAGTCATTTTTTATATTTTTTTTAAATGTAATAAAATAATCACAGCATTTTAAAGTTTTAACATCATTTTATTACAGCTTTAAAGAGTAGAAAAACTTTTTTCTTTTTTTTTTAAACAAAATGGCGGCTTTACAGGGTATTCCTTCAGGCGTCTTTGGCGTAACATCGAAAAGTGCTGCATTTATCATAATTTTTCTATTGATCGAAAACCAAAAAAAAAAAATGTTTTCCAGTTACTAACATATGAAGGAGAAAGATAAACCTATGGAATTATAAAAAAGTACAAAAACGAATATTTAGTAGGCTGTTTAATTAAATGTTCAAGTAATGTAATTACGCGATATCTTTAAAACTTTAGGTACATCCTTCCGATAATAATATAGACAAAAATCTCACAAACTTTCAGCCAAATCGATCAATAACTTCTTGAGTTACAACACGAGCAATTTTTGAAAAATACAGTTCCGAGGTAATCGCATTTAATGTTCCGATATATTAAAACAGTTAGTTTTAGTGACTTACCGATCAATCAGCGATTCCAGGTGCATATGATAAACCTTCAACCTCCTCGAAAAGCTGATATTCTTCACAAAAGATATTATGAAAGATTTGTTACTCTACCCTAAGCGCTTCGGCTACTTGACTCGCTAGTTTACGGTATGTGGTATGAGGCAGAGCCTCGGCGCTCTCGAATATGTGCGATAACTCCGTAAATATTTAATATTTTGATTTTTCCTCTTTACAGTATACTCTCAATATATTATACTTTCGAAATAAGAAAAAAACGATCGAAAAAATCGATTTTTTTGAAAATTGTAAAGGGTGTTCCCCCCGTAACGACCTAGAAAACTATATACAAGATTAAGTATCACTAATACGCAGACGATACCGCCATTAGTTTAAGTGCATATTCTCTTAAAGATCTAGAAACAACACATACTAAACTAAATATATTAAATATTACAAACGTAAAGATATTTAAGATTTACTTTTAACAATGATTTACTAAGCAAGAGTTCCCAGTACAAAATTCTTAGGCCTCTATATATACACCAACAATTGTATTGGGCGGAGCATGTCAATTACTTTATAAAAAAAAACTAAGTTCATCGTACTATGCCATCAGAAATTTAAGAAATTTTGTGGATGAAAAATATCTTCTTATTCAATATTATCGGTGCTGAAAAAAAATTCGATCAGGTCAATTCCGACGTAAAATGTCGTTCTTTTGAGAATACTTTATTAGAATAGGACAAACTTACGATTTCTTCGACAAAAAAAATTCTTACCCTGAATTTCTGTATGAAACTGGTAATCTCCGGATTCTATGCCAGAAAAAAATCGCGTCCTCGAGATCTAACCTTAAAATAAATGGCTTTACTTTATTTTTAAAAAAATTTTGGAAAAACAAAATGAGGGCCGAAACAAAAATATTTTTGTATAAACCACTGTTTTTTTCTCAAAAACTACGGACTTTGGAAAAAAATGTCTTAGAATCAATTGGAAAATACTCTCAAAATTCAGATTTTCTAAATGACAATTTTGGAAATTTCGATGTGATTTTTAGAACAGTCAAATATCGTCTTCAAAAATCCTGCAAAAAATTTAGGATATTGTTCAAAAAATTCAAGAACAAATTTTTGTTCTTGAGCACTTTTTACAAAAATTTCTATTTAGAATTTGAATTTCAATTCAGAATTTCAGGTCCAACATTATTTTGTCGAATAAACCGTGATTTTCTCCAAAAAATTTATTTATAACTGTTTTAAAATCAATTTCTTTCTAAAAAATTCTAAACTGAAAAATTCTAAAGCCATATTCTGAAAAACCATGATATTTTTGACACTTTTGAGGTAGTTTTTCGGTTTGAACGCCACCGTTCTTCTCGTACCCGAATTGGTCTTGGTGAATTATTTGGCGCCCATCTATTTCGATTTTTCGACAATTTCGAGGGGTAGGGGTCCTCTCCTAATGATGCCAATATGGTTGGCGAAACGCGCGTCGAGCACAAAAAACGTGTTACGGTGTTAAGTAGTAAAAAATGCTCAAATGTTCAAGTTTATAGGCTGTAGGTTCCAATTCTCCACCTGTATTAAATTGCAAAGGCTTTAAAAGGTCAAGGAAATGGTTTGGAAATAGCTGAGCTGTTGATGTAAACTCGTTAGTAACTTCGGTTAGATGCATGCAGAGGGAACTGAATATAATGAAAAGAACAAGATAATCTATAGAAGTCGAACTGATATCCATATTTTGCAGACTAATAGTCCTTTTATAAAGAAGCTACTACTTCCTCCATATTCCATTAGAAATACTCGTAAGATGTAGGTGTATTATTTTTAAAGACATCTCAAGTTCTTAAAGTTAAAGACGTATACGCGTGCAATACACATCCAATCAAATGCATCTCATCATCTATTCTGTATTGATGTTTTTCACGAATTTTTCGAAAAACTGTTACTTTAATGCCCTCATCTATTGTGGCGTACGAGTACAAAACCAAAGGCTGCGTACGTGTGTCAGCACTAAATGGAAAAGATAATTGTTTATAATAAAGCATCGACTTCAGAACAATGGATTTCAAAGTGATTCTGTGCTGACGACAGACAAAGGAGATATAAAAAGGTCAAGGAAATGTTTTAAAAATAGCCGAGCCGTAGATGTACCATACACCGCACAGATCAATGGAGTCAGCGCGCGTAGACACACATCTCAAAAAACTCAATTCCAATTTGAGTCGAATAAAAAGTTGCTAGATATTAAAATATATACTAGGTAATTGATATAAACCGTTCGTTAAAAGTATTATGGCATGTAGAAATAACTGATTTTTGAAAATTTGACTAATAGGCTTATGTCGGACTTGATGAAAATATTTTCGAGATGGTCACACTTCCGGTTATACCGGAAGTCGGAATCAACTTCCTTATTTAAAATGGAATGGTACTTTTTTTTATTGCATATTCAGATTCTACAGGTTATTTTAGGTAGGCTTTCATGAGATTTACCTATACCTGTCAGTCATTTCTACAAGTCCCAATACTTTTAATGAACGGTTTCGATCAATCACCCTATATATAGCACGTTAATTATACGAATATATATGAAAGAGGGTTTAGACTACTTTAGAACCAGTTAAAATAACAATACGATGTTCTTTAGTTTTTTCAAATTCTCATTGTTAAATTTTCTCAAAATAAAAAAAGAAAGAATTATGGGTAGCAAGAATCAACTGGGTTTAAAACATATTACACGTTAATAACGGCTTAGGTACTAGTTGTGTTAGCCCTCTAAGATTCAAAAGATTTGACATCGTGTCATGGTCGCCTAGATTTTTTTTTTAAATAAAATGCGTTTTAAGCTTAGTAAAAAAAATATTGCCACCATACATGGTTGAAAACAGAACTTTCAAGTGAATAAGATGAGCTACAAATAAAAAAAGTATCTATGTAAAATGCAGCCCCAAGTTTATCTCAACGGTTTCATGAAGGTCACATCCATTCACACCGACCCTTGGGGGGATTTTCCTAAGTCCGGCCCTTGTGATGCTGGTGACCAGAGAAACAGAGTTGGTAGAGTCCTGTAGCAATGAGAGGTTTTAGAGATCACGGACAAGATCATTCAACCATCTCCACGCACTCAGCAATCATTCTCGAAACTCCATAGCTATTGAACATCTCAATTTTAAAATATTGAACATATTTTTTTGGGAAGTGTGGATGTATCCCATTTATTTTTTCCATATTCGGTTCACACGTTCTCACCCCTTCTGGGAGACATACCACGATGTATTCACCCTTCCCAAAAAAATATGTTTGTTTGTTGGCGAAACATTTAACGCATCTACTTACGGACTGTATGATTTGCGATGTCCTGGATGACCCTGGGTGCCGTATTTTCTGTCTCTAGGTGTCTTCAGCAGATATGGAAACACCGCTTGTTGATTCTCGAAAATGTTAATTTGTCGCGTCGCGGCGAAAAGACGAATTGTCTCCAGGAGATGGGGGAACACCACCGTGGATTATTGAAAGGTTTTACTAGCGTGATACGCCGCAACGAGACGCGAAATAGTTACTCGAATTATGCGTTGTGCCGAGATGAGATGCGACTTCGTAACTGTTCGCTACAAACGGAAACAAAAGGAAAGGATATTGGGTCGGAAGGAAGGGGGAATGGTGGGCCCTTTATTTCCGTATGTCAATTTTAAGCGCGAATATTTGATTTAAAA